TGTTTTCAGCCAACTAGGTCGCACCTGCTTGGATCACAGTACGGAGGTATTTCCCATCTAAATTAATCATGGATCAGAGGTCCCTGAGGGACGAAAGTTTAGGACATGTAAAAAGTAAGAAAAAAAATGATTCCAATGAAAATGATTCCACAGCGCCTGTTGCCCAACGCTTGATCTGCCAACATAGATTGACGCCGATGTAAGATGCGTTATGAATAATTATGATCACCTCTTCCCATTCTCGGTATTCCCCTCCTCAAACTCATTCTTGCGTTTCAAAGTTGGGGCTCCGTCTCCGTTGTGGTGTCCGTTGCTCCGGCCATTGCTGAGGCCATTAGCCTGCGGGCGGCCTGCCTCATCGCCACACCCCCCACGGAAATTGCCCAGCAGTTGAGGAAGCCCAGGTATCCCGAGCCCGGCGAAATTGCGACCAGCGGTTTCTCGTTCTCCAACCGCAATCACAGCACCAATGAGGTCGTGGTTCACCTTCTCATTGACAACGCTGTCGTGCTCATAATCAGGGTGCGAATCAATAAAGTTGCGAATCCAGCGAGACGCCGTATCCAATTCGCCACTTGCGCGTTTGCTAATGAGCTCGAGGTAGGTAGATAGCTCGCATCTGGTCTGCACATCCACATTGACGCTGTCGAGGTAACTTTCCACAATCGGGATCAGTCCAGGAAAGTCGGTATCGGATGATCCATTAATGATTTCGTTGACGGTCATCTCGGCATACTCTTCCTCGACGGGTCCTGGGCTTGCAGGTCTGCTGGCCATGGCAGATCCAGGGCGGCTGTCATCTGGCGCCGCCGTGTTGGCGCGTGAAGGCCTGACTGGGAACGGGCTCTTGCGGAAATAGAATTTGGTGTTGAGGACAGCATCCACCTCGTGTGCTCGTTCCATGTTCTCATCGACCTTCTTAATTGGGATGTAGAAGTTGAGGTCAAACGAGAGGATAGCTCGCGTAACCAATACCATGAAGACCGAGAAGGCCGCATTCTCAAAGTCGGTAACTTGAATCTCCATCGGCCTAAATTCCACTCTCCAGCCGATATCGCTGCCCGCAGGGGGAGGCTTGAAACGCATGTGCTGCCAGTTTGTAGATTGGATATTTTCAAAATGGTCCGTCTTGGTCATGTCCAGCTCCTGGAGATCCTCCTCGAAGATGACGATAGGGTCTCGAATAAAAAGGTGGGCAAAGTGAGTGGCCAGGCGGTCATCCATTCCACCCTCCGTGAGCTTGTCTTTGATTGCCGGGTCGATCACAAGATCTGGGTCAAGGTACTCCTTACGTAGCCGGGGATCATTTGAGATGTATGTTGAGTTTGACGCATATCGAGATTTTGGAATACGCCATCTATTATGCTTCAAAGGCTATTCAAACAGTCAGTTTACAGTAGGCTTGGCCATACTAGGAGGACGATCATACCTTTTCTCCAAGCTCCTCTGGAGTCCGGCAGTCGACTGCACGGCTGATCTGATTCCACCGCACATCAGTGTTTGCGAGAAATCCTTTGTAGACAGGAGTTGCAGCAGTGAGAGCGAGCATGATAGGACCCAGTGGGCTCAGCTGGTCATATAACTGTCTGCCTTCAGTAATACTCTTGGCCTGGAACGTGATTTGAAGACAGCAACTACCCATGCCGAACGCCATTGCATCCATGTGAATGTACTCATCTGGGGCAGCTCCATTCCTCACGTCATTATCCTCAGGCCATTGGTGTAAATCATAGTTCACGGTAGGATCTTTCCATGGTTTCGGCGTGTTGACATCATGAAATATCGGGACGTTGACTTGAACCTTGCGCCCACGTCGAGACCTGATATTAGCAGCCAATGTCGGAAATCTGATATGAGGATTTGCAATCTCGTCGGGAACAAACTGCGAACGGAGCTTCGGGCCAGAAGTAGGGTAGTATGGGAAAGTGAACTGTCCGGGACTGCCAATTCGTGGGAAAGTCGTGAGTGTAATGGGATACTCGGTTGATAGCATATGCTCCTTCGCGATTTTCCTGCGGAGCTTCATATCAGGCTCAACATCGAGGAGCTCCTTGAATCCAATGCCCCAAGGCTTTCCTGGGGTCGCCTCCAGCATGAATCGTCCAAATTCAGGATGAAACACAGGAATTGGCTTGTCACTGCATTTCCGAGTCAGCTGCGGAGTGACGCTCGACGGTACCAAAGTGACCACTTACGTCTTTCCTTTTGTAGCATCATCAATGGTGTCATCCGTGCAACCTCCGGCCTTCGCAAGCTCTTGGTCAGATGCCAGAGCATCCAAAATTTCAGCTTGGCGGAGAGAAAGGAAAACCTTCTCATCATCTTTGTCGTAGGTGACAACGAGATATTCAACCTTGAAAATGTCAGCCAGGCACTATTGATATATGGATGACATCATATATCAAACCTCATCTCCCCACAACAGAGCATCACGCTGCTTCCCTTTGGCCTTATTCCAGATTTCAAGGAGTTGCTGGAAACAAGAGTCAGATTAATACCATTCCCTGCCGAGATTGTCGTTGCCAGGATTCGAGATAAGACAAACCTTGATGCCCCATTCCCTAACTTGGTGCGCTCGCTTCTCAGCCTCAGGCCAGTCGAGCGGCGTTCCAAGAGCTCTAAGATACCAATTAGCCCAGACACATTCACCACATTGGTGAGAGATGGTCAAGCACTCAGCCCTCCCAGGTTTTCAAGACGTACAGTAAGCCCATTTCCGCGATGCAATGACAATCTCCTCTGTAAATCGTCAGGTGGAGCAGTCAAAGCAGTGAATCGCTCGCGTTGGAGAAACGCAGGAAGCACGCGCTGGCTATGTATATATAATATACAGCCGTGCGGCGTAGTGGCAAAGTGATGACCGTTTGTCTTCAACGTTGGGTTCCGTATCCAAGTAGTATCATGCAGCCTCACGATACCGGCAAGGTATCTGCGTAAAACTGTCGCCCACCTCAGCGAAAATACGAGATGGCGAGGCTCAAGCCCAGCGACCTGCGATACCCAGGGATGAAGAGTTTGCGTGTGGCTTGATGATATTTCCCATCCGGTGGCCCCACGCACGAGGGGAAGAGAGACAGTCGAGACAATACCAGCCAGTACGTAGTGCGCGCGGTCTGCGGGGACAAAGTCAATACTGAGAGCCTTGCGGAATAGAGACGAAGCAAGCGCTACCGACTAGGCTATTCGGTTTAACGATGATCGGGGTATCCTGACACGTCCAGGCAGGCTTACACGCAAAAGTGGTGGTTTTTTTTTCTCTGCCTTGGCCTGACTCTCCGCGAACAAGGCTAGGCCTTGTATTCCCTCAGAAAGTCTCGCTCGGGTCCTCTTTTAATGTCGCACCCAGAGATGGATTTTCCCTGATAACAAGGACAAAACTAGGCATTACTAGCAAGTAGTGGAGCCCCGCCAGCACGATCAAATGCCATCCATCTCACTTGCACTTTCTTGGTTTGGACGTATGGGTTGACTCGCGAGTGCTTAGAAATCGACCGCGGGTCAGCCGAGTCTGGGAACCCGCACTGACGGCTCTGGGCAGCGGATTGCATCATCGGCGAGCCGCTGTATTGGCTCCTTCTCTCATGGTACCTGTCGGGATGATCCGTTTGATGCGGCTGCTGGCCAGCCCCAAATTAGATCCAACCTGCAGAACTAGAATTGGCTCGATACCTTACAAGACTAGTATGTAGCAAACAGTCTGGGGATAGTATGAGGCAGTCAGACGACCTTGCTTGGACGACTGGTTACTTGGCGTGGGTATGGATGGGGACAGACGTGGGACGGCGGCCGTGGGACGGACAGTAGCCGTCGTCAGCGGCAAGAGGATAACCTAATAGGCATAGGACAGCCGCCCGGCAGGATTGCAAAGAGGCAAGGCAATTGACAACCGACGTTGCGATATGGCAATGCTGCCGCCAATGCCCAGAACCCGCTCCACGCTTTCTTCAATTCTATCATGTGACTGGCTGGTTGAGAGGCAGGCGTTGCCGTCTCTGAGCTCGCTCCTGCCAACATTGCATGTACCCATGTACCAGCACCTCAGCTCTTACCTCAGGTTCTATTGAATTGATATCCCACTCGCCATGCCATAGGACTGGCATCGGGAATGAACCAAACACCGAGGAACCGGCATTCGCAACCCAGTTCCTCGCTGGCACTTGGCCGACAGTCGCATTTTTACCGGCATCAACACAAAAGCCGCAAATCGGCCAGGTATTTGTCAGCGATAGCAGGCCGTCTTCAACATGGAAGGTACCTAATTAATGACCACTGGTCGGGACGTTTGCCATTTGTGATACGGTTAGTCACGCATAAGGACGGTACCCTCTTCACATGCATCATCCCATCACACAGCAAGGGTCGACCTCCCAATTTCCTCACCTGGCAGCTCGCCGTATAATATGTAGCTCTGCATGGCCCATGATGAGGAGAATGGGCAGATACGAGGCGAATAATCACGCTGGAGCTTTGGCACCGCTGGCTTTATTATCCCGACTTGCCATGACCCTCCCGCCTCCACCGGACCTCGATCCTGCATGAGAGGTAGGTAATGTGGACATTTCAGACCTCTTTGTCACGGCTCCGAGTCGAATTGCGATACAGGTGGATGTCATACCAACTCCCCAGACCCTGTCCAGGCTTGCGGGATCCTAGCCGTAGCCGTGACCGCCGCTTAAGCGAATGCCAAGACCAAATCATCTGGCTGTTAGAATCGGTAGGTTGAGCTGAGCCTCTCAGCAAGATTCGCCAGGTTCAAAAATTGTTCGATTGAGAAGAGCCCTGTTCAAGACATCCATAACAGCTATTTCCCCCGTTGATCCCATGCTATAACATTCCATATTGCGAGACGAGAAGATCTTGTCTGATGCTCCCCCCAACTCGTTTGACACCAATATCATCATCGTAAGAGTAGAACGCCTTCTCAAACGCCCCCAACATTATCCAGCATTGCCGTGCCGCCCAATCTCCTTATGGCCAACTCCTGGCCGGCCCAAGTAGTCTCATCGCGTCTCGGAATAATCGTTCAGTGCCACGCATACCGCACCACGGTGGTGCCCGTTATACTGCCGGATGATCCCCTGGCTAGACACCTCCCACAATCGCGCATAGTGGTCGGAGCAGGCAGTGACTAAATAGGCCGAGTCTGCGCTAAAGGCACAGTCCCATACCCAACGCTGATGCCCCTGGAGCGTTGCTTCAAGAGGGTATGGCTTTGGCTCACCCTCCACGCGGGGCTCCGTGTCGGTAACCTCCCAGATCTTGGCGGTATGATCGGCGCTGCAAGTCGCCAGCTTCTTGACGTCGGGGGAGAGTAGGATCCGAGTGATGCATTCCTTGTGGGCGTTGAACTGGGTGACCGGCAAGAGTTGGGTACGGTCGTAGGTCTGCACCAGCTGCCAGACAAATACGTTGCCCTGCTGGGTGTTAGCCATGGCGGAACGCCTCCATCACGTCACACAAGAGGCGGCAGGGCGCATACCAGGTTATTTGCCGCGCAGAGGAGGGACCCGTCGCTGGCAACCGTCACACTCGACACGGACACATCTTCCTCGGGGATGAGTTCATGTGAGCAGTTGTTCTCGGCCAGATCCCAAACCCGCACGCTGCCCGACCTGTCACAGCTAATTATTTCACCCTGGTTAGGGTGTATCACGACGTCATTCGCCGGGCATCCGTGGTTGTAGCTTCGTTGAATTGTTCCCGATCGTGTTTCCCAGATCTTGACCGTCCCATCTTCGGAGCTCGTCACCATCCATTTCCCCTCGCAGTGAAAGGCGACGCCCGTGATGTTCCCCGTGTGGCCCTCGAAAGTCAGAAGCGGGTTGGGATTCGTCGATTTGATGTCGTAGAGTTTGACGGTGTGGTGGCCCGCCGCGGCGAGAAATCGTTTGTCTGGTGAAATACACAATCGGTTCACCTGAGAATCAGGATGCTGGATCGTGCGCGAGCAGATTCCTGATAGCGCTTCCCAGAAACTAGACAGAGGCGGCGTCCGTCGATCAGTAACAGAGCTTGCGAGAAGCAAAAGTAGAGACAAACCGAATTGTGTGGTCGTAACCCGCTATTGCATTGCTCAGTTAGCTCCCATTATATGATGGCCGCGCACGCAAGGACGCAAGCATAGATGGACAGGTGGACGGCAGATGGTAGAGGAATATGTGGTTGTTTGGCTGGTTCTCGAGGCTGCGTCGCTCCGCTCCGCTCCGCTCACTCACCTGTGCAAAGAATAACCGACATCGCAAATGATGGATTCTAGATTACCGGGGCATTGTAATGGGAAGAAAAAAAGCACCACGGCACCTCAATGTGAGTGCGTTGAGCAAGGTGATTAGATACTGACATACCGGCGCGGCGCGTGACGACGGAGAGCCAAAACCAGGCCCCTCATTACGTGCATGTCTCCGGGATAAGTGCATCAGGCAACAGCGCCATCTAGTGCGTGAGACCATCACATCACAAGGCAACAATGGCAAAAGCGGTATAAACCGCCATTTTCAATTATTGGAATTGTTGCCTTGCTATATTTATCTTCCATTTAATTGGCCCCATGAAAGCACCCCGGATGCTCGGTTTAATCATTTAGGATACGACATGGGCTGCCTCCGATTCGTAGGTATCATTCATCTGGATAACAGCCAATGCTCGCTTGACCAACAGTAACTCGCTCTAAACTACCTTATTTTCCTCTCCCATTTTCTTTCATCGTATCACATTAATTAAAATTACGGCTTGAGACGCTAGTGAGAAATTCCACGGCCTATGGAAGAGAGGCGTCCAAGAAACCGCACCTCTCCCGGTAGTAGGCAAGAAACAGGCAACATATGTCATCAACATATCTTTGATATACCTATTCATGCGAGGCAATATTCTAGGACCACCAATTTCGGAGTCCTCGTGACATTACAAGTAAATCCCTATAACAAGATCTCGTGAAATGACTTGGATATTGCCTCTCTCCCAAATACCCTCTTACAACGGAATTCACGGCCAAGGGGTAAAAGCCCCAAGACCTTACAATGAGCATAACTACACTTGAAGCGATCAAAAACACCGCCACGAATCCTTCCTCGCAGCAACATACAATCCATGACGAACATCGTAAAGGAGCGGAAGATCGTCACCAGGCGATAGTTTGAGATGTCCTGGTGTTGAATCCCCTGTGCCTGTCAAGCTGTCCCGTTTCCTGAAGAAGCCCCAGCGTTGGTACTATCGGCTGCCATCATCCTCACCATTGTATTCTGGCAATAACCGCACGTAGACTCCCTGTTTTGGGGTCAGCCCATCTGTAGACTCTGTAGATCATATGTTTCAAGCTTAGAAGTTGCTTACTGGCGAAGATCCTTGAAACTGCACATGTTGCAGGTGCTGGGAACCAAGCCCTCGCTGAGGCCTGCTGAAATGTGTGATGTAGGCATTGTTTCACGAGGAGCTCAGGAGATGTCACGAGAGAATATTCAGTGTGAAAACACTTCAGTAGCAGTTTGGAATGTTTTTCGTCTGAGCTCGCAGTTGTTTCCGCGCTGAATTCTTGAGGCCCGGATTCGAAACTTGTCGGAGACAACATGCTTTTTATACTTCTTCTCATCATATACATCGATCGAGAGAACATGACATGATCTGGAACCTGGGCTAGAAAAGGGTCAGCAGGAATCATTTCTCACATTGGAAGCCGGTCAAAAACTAAAATCCCAGCTCACCGTCCTCGATGAGCCTCTGGAGATCCCATGATAAGACATTAGGTGCAGAGATGCAACCAACCAACCAACATACATACCATTGTAGTTAACCGTGAATTCCAGATACATCAGGCAACATCTCTACCCGGGGATAAGACGTGTAGTCCTCGGCCATGTGGCCGGGCTGGGCTGCAAGATCCACCGTCGACTCGATGACATGTTTCGGCATGTCCTGATCAGGTTTTGCAGACTCCAAGAGGTGTCAACTCCCTTTCGCCCGTCATTCATCCATTCGTCTATCCAACGCCACCGACTTCTAAAGCAGGACTGCCTAGCTGCATCTGCTCATACACGCATGGACACCCCCAGTCTGCTTCAAGTGTGGCAGAGAGGCGCACCCTCCGATCCTCTGCAAGGCAACTCAGCCGAAGAGCGTCGATACAACGTACCATGACACCGTTCCCGCAGCCTTTTGTCAACAACTGAGCCCAATAGCCGATACTCCATTGTCTACTGAGTGATCCACTCCAGCCTGCAGGCCCATGCAGATGCCTTGCGGCTTGCTCACCCTCCTGCGCCTACCCGGCAGGCTTGATTCTCATTCGCTACGGCAACCAGACTCGGTCAAGATGTGAGAGCCCAATGCACACTCGCCGAACTTCATCATGTGCCATTCCTTACCTAGATTAGATACGGGGCAGAGCGCGAGTGGGTGTGGAGCGAGTAATCACCAACCTCTTTCAAAGTCTATCCGTTTCTGACCCAACATAAGGGCAGACCAACCTCATCATAGCTCATGTGTCATCCTGGGATATCATTATCCTCTATTCAACTCCGTGTCTATAATTACCTAGTTTGCGTCATTATCCTCTGCAAGGTCCTTACACAGTCCAGTTCTGAGTCCATACCACCCCTCCTTCTGATGCGCTGTTCTGCAACCACCATTGGCTCTTCTCTCCGTCCCGATGCAATGGCACCAAGCATGCAATATCCCGCACTATTAACCCGCTTAACCTGTCTCGGCTCCTTCTCAGCCGCTTGTTCGTATTCCTCTATTTAACCTTTTCTCTTTTGCAAGGTCTCCTCTGCTCTTTTTGTTGAGGGCACAAACAAGCATACGTGGAAGGTGATAACCTCCTCAGAACACCGATACTTGGTCTCCTACCCAAATACTACGATACGTCATTAACATGCCCTGGCAGTCCCTGTTTCAGTCCCGGTCCGGCCCTCTGCAGGTACTCTTCTAGATGCAAGTCCACTCCAGTGCATACTGACATGCTCCATCTGACCCTCCATGTAGCCCGGTCAAAGCGTGTTCATTCTTGGCTATTGATAAATATTTTGACCGGTTTGTCTTACCCGCCGAAGATTGCTTCCTTTGGGAAAATAGGCCAATGACCTACTCTCAATACTGTACCATTCCATCCATTGACGTATGATGGTGGGGAGGCAAAAGGGCCTGGTCTACCTTACGTTTCAGTGCCAGTGATACGACACTTGCCTCACCCCAACCAACTCCAGGATTCCGCTGAACCAAGATTTTCAAACCTAATGACTAGCTGGCGTATTTCAAAGATAAATATCGGGCCACGTGAGGTCGACCTGCCTTTCCCATTCCCTCGGCAATAAACCCACCAGACAACTTCATCGTCACATTTTCATAGTTCATGTCACTGAAGACTGAATCTTAGATAAACTCTTCCGTAAGAACCTAACTGGATAATATGCCTGGCAATCTCAAAACCACCGAATCGTATTGCCCGAGTTAGTAGGTTAAAAGTCGTAATAGTCGTCCAATCTAGCCACTGGAATATCATAAACCAAACAAAAGAAGCGAATTTCTGCACAACGACGGAACATTCCAAAAACTACAGGCCCTAGAAGATCCGGTTGGCTCTTCTCAGCTAGTCCGAGGAAATGCAACCCCTCACCCCGCACTTCTTACCCCGAATATCTGATTGCTACACAGCAAAATTCAAGCCCGTATCCCCCATACTCCAAATCGCCAAGCCTCAAAGGCCTTAACAGGTAAAGTTGAGAACAAATCAAGGATTTTACAGTGCTGGGGCCGTTGCAATCAGTGCAGACATGACTGCAATACCACCCAATGCAACATATCCTACTACTTCAGCCGCTCGCCGGAGGCGTTTCGGCGAGTGTGCTGCTTCTTGGGCCTTCAAGGCTGCTCTGAAATCATCAGTAAGCTCTTTCACTGTAGTCTGAGATATCTGAGCTGCCTTTCTCTTCAGAGGGTTCGGAGAATCCTGAATCTTTTCTCCAACTTCCTCTTCGTCTTGTTTCTCAACAGGCTCTACCTGCAATTGCTCGACCTTTTTGCTGATCTCGAAAGTGTAAGCAGACGTGTCATCAAGCACATCAGGATCGCTCGACACTGGTGGTTCATCAGAAGTGAGTGGGGTGTTTAGGAAATTTCGTCCTGATACTTCCAGAGGTGAAAACTGCTCCCACGTCTCTTGAGAGGACTCATCAATCAAGATAGATGACAGGCTCAAAGCCTCTTTTTCGCCCGAGGCCTGGGGTGCCGTGGGTAGGATAGGGGCATCCATTGGCGTTTGCTCATGCTGGGGGCCCAATTCCAAGGCAAATCTCTTCTTGTTCTCCTCTCGAGCATTGAAGAAATCAGCTTTGGCGGAGTTTTGTCCGAAAATGCTAATGACTTGATCCCTACAACCTTGAGATACAAGGTCTGGAGTAGCAGAGGGCTGTTCCGAGGAAACGAAACTGAGAGCCTCGTCTTGTGAGTATCCAATTTTGTCATGTGTTCGCTCTTGTGTCAACATCAAGTTTAAGGGAACCGCCGTGAGCCTATCAGCCTCATGCACGCTCCTCAGCGCATTTGGGGGAAGCCCTTCCGATTCTTGAGACGCAATTTCAGGCAACGGCATATTATCCATCAACGTCATGGGAATTGTGATTGTTGGGTCAGACATTTTAGTGTCATCGTCTGCTATGAACTTGTTAGCCATAGTTCTTTGACAAACTATAGTCGGTAGCACCGAACGCCAAAACTTACTTGGAAGGGTAGTTTCACCGTGCTCTTCCAACCCATCGCCATCTTCGGAAGTGAGCTCCTCGTCGCTGAAGAAGGCGCCAGGTTCCGGCGTATGTGTATTGTACTCGTCATTTCCATCAACCCTCGGGGATTCGATTTCAGATGAATAGCTATCAGATTCAGACTCGTAGGGGAGCTCTTCATCTAATTCCGAGTTGTGGGATTCGTCGTCCCAGGCCATATATTCTTCACCATCAGGGTTGTTTTCGGTACTGAATGATGTCGTGGCAGGTATCTCAGACGGCGTAGGGTCCGAAATGTCGTAAATCTCCGATGCGTTTGAAGTCAGATCGATCGGGAGGAGAACTGATCCTCCATTTTTGTAGTGTTCGACATCAACAACGGGTGTAAGATCGAGGGTGCTGAGTGGTGGCAGGTGAGGTGCTGGTCGGATTTGATTCTCTCTCAGGACTTTCTGAGCATATCCGGTACCAATTTCACCTTCGCTACCGCTTATCTCCTCGACGTCGGTATCATCGGGTACTCGAAAGACGGTCGGTAGATCATCCCGTCTATGAAACACATTAGCCAAGGGACGGTGCCGCGGACGAACTGCAAAAAGAGACGTACTCATCAGTTCCAAACGCAATGGTGGCTTCAACTTCAAAGGGGTGGAACTTTTCAGCTCCCCTGTCGATGTTAACTCCAAATGTTATAACATCTCCGGTCAGAAGCCGCTTGGACTCTTGATCTTGAAGTCGCAGCGAATTCACAAAAGTCCCATGAAGGGACCCGGCGTCTTTGATTGACACCTCCTAATTGTTGCCGTTAACATGATAAAAAGTGTGAGTATTTGACAAATGCTTGACCAACCTGTTTGTCGTTATCGAGCTTGATTGTTGCGTGATCCCGAGACATGACCGGGCAATCAAAGAGGAAGTTGTTGGAGGCGGCCTCCATCCCTCGTCTCCTACTGCTCTGTCGTCCGATGGGCGTTGTCGCCTTGCCTTTGGAGAGCGTAAGGCTGCGGTAAGGGAAGCGAGGGTCGTGGGTGTCGTTGGTGACGGTAAGCATCACTAACGCTATGGATCTTGTAAGCAGCAGCTCCCTGGGTTAGGATAAACATAACGCACCTTGATCCCGGAACTTGGGAGGTTCCATGATGAGATGGAATGGATTCTGGATATACTGATGGAGAGTACGATGATCCAGTATCGAAGTTGAAGAGGGGAACAATCAATAGAGAGCTGTGGCACAGAGCGAAACAGCTGAAGGGCTGCTGAGACGAGGCAAAGGTCAAGGTGGGGCAGCTTGCTGGGGGTTCCTGCCAGAACAAGTAGAGGGAGCTACGGGATGATAAGGAGCCCCTCACTTAGTGCACTTATCAGTGGGGGGTGGGCGGCTGCCTGCCTGTGGTGTTGCCTAGCGTCTTGCCTTCCGAGATGGCTCTTGAGATACAAAAGGACGATGAAAATTGTGGCAGGAAGAGGTTGGTTTTCATAAATTTCGGGAGGATGAAAGACCTATATTCCTAAGCGCGGCTGTCTGGCGCCTTGCAGTTAAAAACTAAATGTTGTGGCAGGTTGGCACCCAGCAGGTACCGTAGCGACGATACAGAGTTTAGCAGGTACCTGCTAACAGGGCAGCCAAAGTGGTTCACGACATCAATTGGGTACGTACTTGCATGTCACGAGAGCATGGGTTTTGGCCGAAGGTGCACAACAGATGCACCAGTCCGGACTCATTTCACATCCTGGCTTTAGGCACCATTCCCGCTCCTTCGGTGACTGGATGGCTAAGCCTGTGCACCAGCGACGAGCTGATCCAAATAATATTAGGTACTATCGTGGCAGGATAGCCCGTGGATGAAACTCAACACGTGGACGAAGCCCTGCCAGGGGCCTCGCCCGTAGTGAAATCTTGCGCAATGCGCTGTTGAAGGTTAAGTACCTAGGTAGGCTAAGTTAGTACTGGCTTTGGGGAGAATACGGAAACGAAGGCAGAGAGAGGCGTTCTGCCCAACCAAATGCACTTGCGTCAGCCCGATGGTGCCGAAATGGCCTTGTGACCACCCGGAAGGTGACGCGATGAGCACAACCCCTCTTTCAGACGAGCGTCTCGGGGAGTACAAACGCCGCAGAAATAGCGCTTTTGCTGACTGAAGTGGATGAATGAAACTCGCATGTTGTTCACGTCGCACACTACACACAGCAAGGACCTCCGATCGGAATTCGAGCATGTCGGATTTGAGGCCCCTCCCCCATAAATCTAATCTACCATGCACGGGCAAGACGCGTTAAGTGCTGTCCCGCTCACGAAACTCAAACCGATGACGCTATGTGTCCAGGGGTCCAGAAGGTATCCCAGCTCCAGTGGGTCAGTTCTGGGGAAGGCCTCTTGGCGCTATCGGCAACTTGGGTAGTGTCGAGATAAGTTTCATTGTCTTGTTTGCTCGCTTTAGCTCTTCGTTGTGACTGATTTTGTTGCGAGATGGTTTCATTTTCGAGGTTTGTCCTTAGACACAAATTGGAATATCAATATATAAGACTCTGCTGTGGTGGGTATCCGACGTCGTTGAAGTTCGCTGCTGATTGACTCTTTAGCCTCCAAGGGCACGACGCCGAGCAAAGGACACACACCAACACTATTATGAAGATAAAAACTGTAGGATACCCCCCATACAAACCTAGTAGACATAAACCGAAGCAAATGCACCTATCCAAACGAAAATGAGAACTACCCAACATGAAGACATCTCGAACCCAGTGTCGGATAGACAGAACTCTAGGGTAGGAATATTACAGCCTGTAGTGTGGTTGTGGCTTGACACCTCCCACAAGAGGTCATAACCGACACGAGAAAAAGGGCCAGAGCACAGGGAAAATGAGGGATACCACAGAGAACAAAACCCCAAGACGCACGGATTCACTGTTGATCCCTCACGTAGCGCCGCCCCAATCCAGCCTCCCAAGGAACACAGAAACCTGATTATGATGACATTTGTCTGGGTCACTTATGGAAGCGAGAGAGGGCTTGCCCCATCAGCGCCCCAGCTGGAAGACGTCACGACTGGGCACGCACTTTACACGGTCGAGGCGACCTGCGCCACTGCCGTCAGCCCACAAAAACTTGTCCCTTCTGACTCCATACTTGCTCTTTTAAAATGTTGCTCCTGCGTAAACCACGAAGTTCTCTACTCGCAGCTCCCTCCTTATCTACGGCAATCGGTTATTATCCCTCGCCCCCCCACCTTGTCGCCTTGACAGCCCATCAAACACCACTCCCACTCTCCCCAGATTCCTATTCAAGGTCCCCCCCAATGGAGCTGAACCATTCTTTCACCCATAACACCTATTTGCTACCCTATCCGACAACGTAGCATCCAAGCGAAGCAAGCTCTGCTTTGACAACCTTATCGCCTGAAAGACTTACGCGCGAAACACGTGCTGCAGCCGTCGCCTAACATTCGCCTTACAAATTGCGCTTCTCAGCCTTGTTTCTACCTAAATCTGATTCTGCTGCATTGGTCAGCCCAATTAGCTGAGACATCGCCACTAAGCAAGCCCTGAGGCGCTGACGCTGATCTCTGAGACCCGACGTCGCTCATCACAACCCAGCGTGATAATCCAGCGTTATTTATAAAACCAGTCAACGCATTTAGAGCATACCCCAAGTTTAAATCGCATTCAACCTCAATATGAGTTTAGCACGCGTCAAAGCCCTCAAGGGCGAGAAGACCGTCTCCCGAAAGGCGCGGAAATCCGGCCGCGCCTCTGGCACAGCTTCACCCGCAGGCTCGGAGATTCTACAGAAGGTCTTCCAGCACGACGACACCTCCTACCGCTCCGGGTCCGAGGCCACACCCCCAGAGACCCCTCCCGTGACCTACGACAGCGACTCGGACGCTGGATCGCAGCTACTTGCGCTCGATGAACTCGACTTGACTCCCTTTGACCCGAAGAAGCTTGTTTCGGAGCTGCAGGATCGCAAGAACAACCAGACCGACACGAGAGAGCTTCTTCTACACCACTACGTCAAGACCCTGCGGAATCAATACTCTGCCGAATTTGATAATTTTGATGGCCAGGTAGATGAGCTGTTTGGGGTATTTCTAAGAGGGGCAAATCGCGGGGCGACACCCAAGGAGAGATCCCTGAGTCTTCAGTCCTATTTCCTAACAGCGACAATCGCCGACGTGGACCGAGTTGATTCCACACGGAACATCCTGAAGCAGATCCTGTCGGACGACGACGAGGAGGAGTGCCAAGTCCACGCTCTATATGCCCTTTGCCTGACAGTGGTGTTCTACGCCGCCAACAAGGATGAAGTATTCGACTTTTTGGATTTTCTCGTGGAGATTGTCCAGAGCAACGGAGATTCAATCAACGCCCTGGACAAGGATGGTGTCATGGTCGCCACCTTCGAGTGCTGGGCCTTTGCGGCGACGCACGTAGACATCTGGCAGCATGCCGACTATGCCATGGACACATTTGTCGAGAAGCTCGACAGCACAGACGTCGAAACACAGACGATCGCAAGCGAGTGCATTGCCTTCATATTTGAGGCATCTCGCACCCACGAACAAGAAGAAGGCGAGCCGTTCCAGCTCCCCTACGATCCCCAGCGGATAGCCGGCCGGATCAACGGCCTGACAAAGGTCTCAGTTAAATCAAGATCACGCAAAGATCGCCGGGATCTTCGTGAGAGTCTACGAAGTGTAGGCACTTCGCTCGACAGAGGGGTAGGGCCATACTACTCCACTGCCACCAATGTCGAGGATGGCAAGGAGCTGGGCTATCGATTCAAGCTGCGCAAGCGTGATGCCATCGGCCACCAGTACCATGCTCCCGTCGAGTCATGGCATTTTTATCATCGCATCCATTTCCTACGCAACGTCTTCAAGGGCGGCCTTGAGCGTCATATGGAGAATGACAACCCAATAGTGATCGACTGTTTGGATGGGCTGGACTGGTCCGCCGTGCCAAGGAGTAGCTAACATTCTCGATACTAAAGAGTAGGAATAGGGGCTTCTTTCGTTAGTTGGGTTGTGAGCATCTTTCATATGCATGTATTGAGGTAATCCATCGATGTTGTCGGTTTCAAGCGTTTACTGTTGATGTGTTGGCCTCTGGGTACCATGCAGACTTGTGATTATTTTTTACCTGTTCGCGATCAGGGATTTTCTAACTCGGTTTCATTCGGAATACTGTGGTAGCATTGAATAGAATCTTACTTTCGCTCATAGCGTATAGCGGCGTCCTATTATTCTTTGGTACGAACCTTTATACAACCTGAGATGTTGGTATAAATGGACTGAAAGCACTCCATTCACTTAATGCCTAGTGGGCCAAAGCGTCTGGCAAGCTTGCAGTAGGTTTGTGTTAATTGCTATTACTCATAGGACTACTTAATAGAAATACTAAATTTGACTCGGGAATGATCAAAGAGTCAAGGAGGCTTTAGAGGAGAATACAATCGATTTCGGTCTCACTTTTGGTGTCAGGTTGAGGGATTGGTCCAGTACCGAGGGCTTGGGTTAAGTAGTCTTTTAAAAAGCGAATTTTTTCCCCTTGGAACCCCATTTAAGCCGAGTGAAGAGGATACAGACTCCGCCTAGAATTGTTACACAGCCTGAGAATAGGAAGAGGGGCGTGAAGCCAGACGGCCTGCCACTTGCTTCGGTTGGACCGAGTCCTGCAGACATTGTGCGCAAGTGTGTAGTGATTGGGGTACTGATAAACGTGGTAATCGATAAAACCGCCATCATGAAGCCGATACGGAGGCCAAGGTAACCCATGTCGGGAGTTATCTGTGCCACACATGTGGAACTGAGAGGCATGATGCCCCCAGAGAAGAGGCCAAAGAGTAGGGCGAAAGCAACCATGCTGGAAAACGTTGTCATTTTGATCCAGACCAATGTCATCATGCCAGTCAGAAAACAGATCAGAGACAAAATGTTAAACCTACCGAACCGGTCACCAAACATGCCGCCGAGGACGCGGCCGAATACAGAGCCACCGTAGCAAATCGAGAGAAGGGCATTTGCTTGGATTGGGCCGATCCCATGACTGGTGGCGTAGGCGGGAATGAAACCGAATGGGATGAGGAAACCAAGGTAGACAAGAAACTCAGAAATGATGAACGCAATAAAATCCCACCGGAATATGGCCTTTCGCGGATTGCGATAACTTGGATCGACAACTCGCCCATGTGTATCGTGACCTGCTAGACCTTTCCTTCCTCTGATGAAGATGGACGAAAAAATAAAAAAAGGCAAGCATATCAGGCCCGTTGCCCGATGGACCCATCCGAAGCCGACAGTATGGAACATGGCGTTGAGTACGCTTGGCCAGAATATGCCTCCCACGGATGAACCTGAAGCGGCAATGCCCAAGGCAACACCACGCCTCTTGTCGAACCATTCGGCGATGGCACCGACCGTTGCATAGAACCTGGGAGCCGTTAGCCACAGCCATATCCCGGATGTCTCTCAGTGTGGCGTGCGCACATAAGAGCATTTCTGATGCTGAACATGATGCCCTGAGTGAGCAGGTAGTGCCACCACATGCTGCTGGAGCCCGCGGCCATGCACGAGAGGAAAACTAGCACTGATCCAAAAATTACCAGCGGCCTCGCGCCCCATCTATCAGATGCCGGGCCAATGATGAGCCCGGAGCTGAAGAGGATTCCGGTCTGGAAGATTGTTCAACCTGGCATTAGCCCCTGCCGTAGGTTTTCTAGGACGTGAACCATACCTGCAAGTTGCCGATCCAAGTGATTCGTCCTTCCGTCCAGGAGGTACCCCCTCCCATCATCGCGTTTTCGTAATAGTTTTGGAAAGTGCCCCATGAGTTGAGAATACCTAGTATCGATGGCTTGTTAGTTTGTGAGCTCCCCAAAAGCAATGGACAAGTGAATCACCGAATCCCGTGAAGAAATTGAGAAACCCAGCCAATACGACAACCCAGGCCCGAGAACCCCCATCTGGTATTCCCACACAATCATCGCTTGGTGTCTTTTCAGGATCTTTTCCAGTTTCCTCCGGTATTATTGTATTGTCTTGGACCGGCTCTTTTGCCTGTGGAGATGGTGAGATGTCTGGGAAGACGGGATCCTGGTTGCGGGAAAACAACTGCATTCTTGATCCTCTCCCTAATCGAGTCGGTCGAAATAAGATAAAAATAAATGTCTCGTATCGATATTGATCAGCTCGCGAAATGAATTAATAATGCAATGTAACGAATGTCGGGTCGGTCTGGATACTCGCGGATTCCACCAGCTCGGTCGATGGAGTCGTGTTGTTATAGATGGCGAGAGTGAGCGCTTCGAGACGAGAGAGAATAATAATTGAGCCACCGGTTTATCCTTCCGAATGAATGATTGCTTGTTGAAGAAGCCGCAAATCGTGAACCGAGGAAGTTGCCGTGGTAGGTTTGGCCGACTACGTGATGCCCGCACCTGCTGGTAACGTTGTTCCCTGCGCGCATTAGTACCTAGAGCATAAACTCCTTGAAGCGTATCCCCAAGCGTGGCTCGTCAATCGAAGCATTCTCAGGTTCTCCCTTCTGAAATTCATGGCTTCTTATAGCAGTACCCGCCGTTGTTAGCATAGGCACACCGGCCATACTGGAAGACGATCAAGGCGGCGCAACTCACGACTGAAAACCTCGAGCAGAAAGAGACGGCGGAGATGCTAGTATAAATAATATTTCAATTCTTTTCGTTTGTTTTTATTACAAGGATTTGTTTACATCGGGCCTTGCCTGGCTCCGGTTGTCTTCGCTACTGAACGGAAGCCCGCGCACCAGAACGGAGTAGCAGCTCAGCACGGACGAAGCTGACAGGACCATCGCGACTGCCCTCGAATAACTTCCCCAGATTTTCCAGGGTGCTTGCACAGAATTTAAGCTCCGATCGAGCTTGTGGATATTGCCGCCTCGTGGGAAGCTATCGAGATGCGATCGAGTGAAGGGGAGGGGTGTGAATGATTCTTGGACGGAGAATTGACGCTGGTCGAGATCTAAGAGCTAGCTTGATATTCGTCCCGAAGCTTTCAGAATGGCAATCACTACGTGCTACCCCATGGAAGCATACATGGCATTGTAATTGGGAGTGCCTCTCGCCATCTCCTGTCTGAAAAGTGCGTAGTTCACACCCGGCTGCCCTTTTCTTCTACAGAACTATAGCTCTACGTCCCACAACGACCTTCGACCATCAGTGCCATAGATGGCCGGCAGAAACCACAACATTCATTATTCACTTTCGTTCTTTGATATCACGTGGACGTGGTCTGTACGACTGCTCTGGCTGGTAGACCCAATGGGCACATGCGGGCTTCTGGGTCCGAGCCGGTGTTTGCTTAGGTGCGGCTTAATAAAACGAGCATTTACGAGTGCTAATAATATCTGCTGCCAAAAACGGCACCAAAGCTCGACCAACGCCAAGAACCCCTTTCTCAGCCTCAGTACCTATTCTGAATTGATTGCCCATCATGGAATGCTCGGCGGACGAAGATCTCCCCCGGGGAGAATTAGGTTTACTGGAGACTCGAGATTGCACCAGGCCAAAAAAGAAACAATATGTGTATGACCACGAGGGACAGAAACGCCCCTTGGTGTACCATCAAGGGTCAATATGGGTTATTTTAGAGCGTTCGGCAGCCAAAAACAGCATCAAAACTGGAGTCAGCACAGATTCTCCGTTCAAGTTCGCGATTCGACATGAGTACTAAGACCGATCGTAGGGCTGCAAGCATCTTGTGAATAATAGTGTGGTCTGGATTGGGGAAGGGGGGTTTATTCTTGGAAAGCTTGTCGAACGACTACAATACACAGCAATGCCTTGAAATGATCACAGCCAGTCCCTCGTCTAAGCTTTCACAGCAGCAGGTATCCTGCATCCTTTAGCGGGGAAAGCCACCAGCGTTGTTGGCACTAACGAGCTGTCATCAAGGCGAGCTGAGACTGGTGCGAGTGATGCAGCCAAATGTAGAACAGGCAGGGGGCATGCCTCAATCATAAGTCGGCAGTCAGACAGCAGCAGTCCAGCCTGTCAAGCTTAGTCAATCAGTTCCTTGCAACGAGCCCAGGTTTAGATTTAGAGCTGTAGACAGGCAGAAAACCCCACAGTTCGCGTCCGTGCATAGGCAGAGTCAAGGGGAATATGGGATAATTTTGGTGACCGCTCTGGTGCTGGCGAAATAGGTAGTTTAGGAACTCGATAGGACGTCAGTGCCTGGGGGGCATGCTTGACATCACCGCTCCTTACTGATGGCGGCCGGAGGATTCTGACTACTAGAGGATCTTCCGCTGTGAAGGCTGGCTCCAAAGCGACACTTGACGGCGAGGCGAAGCTGAAGGGCACGATCTCTAACAGACGCGCGCCTGGAAGCCAGCGTGTGCAATGTGGTGTGGCAGGTGGATGGGATCATGGATGGCCTCAGCTGGAGACGGCGAGGGTACAAAGCGTGAATTTGGGCGATGTACCTGCCAGCGTACCGTGGCTTACCTCAACGTGCAGCGTTTGAGGCCCCTGATCCCTGCCGCTATTTCTGTATTTGGGGCTTCAACGCTGCTTGCTCTGCAATATTACTCAGTCGCTCCTTCCAGAGAGCGCCCCCCACAGGCCGGGTCGCTCTTGCCCAGCACCCCCCCGTACATCTAATTTCCTCACCTGCACACCCTCCTTCAGGTGGGCGTGCACTGACTCTGCACGCTACTGCAGGAAAGACGCCCCACCGACCTACATCGAGGCCCATGTTCTTCATCTCCACTGCCATCAACCCACTCACAAGAATAGAAGTCAGGGCCTGAGATCCTGTCGACTTGTTGACACTCTCCAATCGAGCTAGTTTGCACTATGAAACTGTGCACAGCTCTCATTTCCAGACATCTTTATATCTTGGACATCCTCACCATCATCGGCAACCTTCTCTCTCACCATCACCAACCTCCAACCTCCACAACAACCATCTTGGGTACGCTTTCGAGCATCACATCCAAACCTCATCTCCACACAGCCCCAACACAATCACACAAAATGTCTACCAAGCACCGTTTGAGGCGATCTTGCGCTTTCTGCCGCGCCCGCAAGATCAAGTGTTCCAATGAGACGATCTGCGAGGCCTGCCGAAGACAAGGCGCCGACTGCATCTACGACTTTGAGCCCCCGCGACCTAAGACTCGCACCAGCATGGACGGAACTGCCTCCCCTGCCCTGAACAGAGGCCGCTCTTCCACATGCGGATCTTTCCACGAGAGCCCCCTTCTCGGTGGCCAGATGACCGAGGAGCCCTTCCTCGCCGACGAGATTGAGGATGTCGCTACTGTCCTTGACCGCACCTTCTTCCAGAGCTTCAATGCAAACACAGTCAGAGCCACTCCTCGATCACGGAGCCGACCTGATGTTTCTCACCTCAAGAAGTCCAGCATCCTCTCCCTTCTCTCACACGACCTTGTTGGTCTCTCCGCTTCCCAGCTTAGCTCTCTGGGCTGCGCTCACCTGGAAGACGAGAGCGCCGGCTTCTTCCTCTCCGGCCTTGACAACGACGAGACCCAGAACATGTTTGACAATGTTGTTCCTGCCACAAACCCAGTGACTGAGTATGGCCAAAGGCAGCAGACCCAGCTGATTGACGTCTGGTACTCTACCCACCCCCTTTCCTTCCTCGTCTCCAAGACTCTCCTCCTTCGCGAGCTCCGTGATGGTACTCACGATGAGATCCTCCTGGCCATCATGCTTGCTGATGCCAACTTCACCATTGGAAGCGAGGCTTCCAATGCTCGCGGACATGCCCTGCTCCAGTACGCCACTTCCCAGCTTCGCCAGCGCCCTCTGCAGACCACCAAGAACAGTGGAGTCGCTACCGACTCTGGCACTGTCGTCTACAGTGGCATCTCCACCCGCATCTTCAGCGGTATTTCCACAGTCCAGGCTCTCATGCTTCTCGGATGGAACGCCTTGACCTCTTCCCAGTTCCGCCGCGCCATTACCTACATCCAGCTTGCTGGTCGCCTGGCCACTGATCTGAAGGAGCAGGTCATCACCATGGATGGCATGCAGCTTTCCAGCCGCATCAACGGTATTGATGTCTATGACGTCGAGAAGGAGTTGATCGACCACCTCTACTGGACCACCTACTCTCTCACCCTCTGGGCTTACGTCCAGACTGGCCGGGGTTACTTCTCCGTCTCTCCTACTGTCATCCCTACCATCATGATTCCTGCCACTGAGGAGACTTCCTCTTCCATCCAGCTTGATCTCATTTCCGAGAATGTCAACACTCTCCAGAAGCAGAAGTCCTCCATTCGGGAGATGTGGGCCCTCGCCCATGTTTCCATCTCCATCGCCAACGCTTGTGGCTTCCACCCTCAGCAGCATGGTCACTCCATGGCTGGCCCAGTCCACAGGTGCCGCGACACCAGCCGCTTCCTCATGGAGAGCATCAACGAGCTCAACAAGACAGGCCAGGGCGCCTCCGCTGCCAGCTTCGTCCTTGTCGTCTACCACACCCTGGCCATCCAGTTCCTCTTCCCTGCTCAGTCTGAGGACAGCATCATGGCTGATGTGGTTGAGCGTCTCTGCTACTCAGTCGAGGAGATCCTCCAGATCTTCGCTCATGCTTCCAACAACAAGCAGGATGAGATCGAGTCTTCCCTCAAGACTGCTCTCCCCGCTGCTTTCGGCTTGGCCATTGACACCTGCTCTCGTGCTCTGCAGCTGATCAATGCCCAGAAGGCTTCCGGTGCTCTGCTCCGAACCTTCCCTTCGATCCAGGCTTACACTCCTAAGCTGGACTCGATGACCAGCCGTCTCTACACCATGAGCAAGGATGACTTCCTTGACCAGCGAAGTGGTCTCCGCGCTATTCGCAAGCAGCTTAAGGCTTCCATGCACGGCACTAGCTCTCCCCGCTCCCACAGCCTTTCCCGCAGCGTCTCTTCCTGCAGCGAGACCCCTTCCCTGTCCCAGGCTCCTTCTATGTCGCCTGCTGGTTCCGACTTCTCCAGCGCTCCCACCCCTGAGAACGATGTTCAATCAGTCTTCGTCTCACCCAAGGCTCAGAGCATGGCTCCCCAGGCTGGAATGGGCCAGATGTTTGTCGACAACAGCATGATGAAGTCTGCATGGCGCAGCAAC